TAAAACATCTGTTCACCTATTGCATTGAACATCATCTTTGGTACCCACAAGACAAACTTGGTAACAATGTACCTTCCAGGATCAGCACCAGCTCCGAAAATAACATTATCTATCCAATGTGATATCAATACTGACTTTACCATTAGGGGCTATTTATTCTGAAAAAACCAAATCTATTGAGTGCTATGATAAAATTAACAAGAGCAGCGGCAGTTGATGGCTGTAATATCTTCTGTCTTTTAGCAAATCCTTCATTGTAATTTACATTGTCTACAGCCCTTATATCATTACCTTGAGCTGGAGTGGCAGCATTTGCATATTTATGTAACTCAGCGTTAGTACTTGCATCCACATAATGCAACATGGTTGGTTCAACTTTATCACTGTAATCCTTTGAAAACTCCAAAAGGTTTTTCACATTAATAGCATGATTCATACTAGAAGTGTCAATACAGTTAGTACCATCAAACTGTACCTTTAATTCTATTTCGTCACCGGTCTATGTCACAAGGAAATCACGTGAGATATGCGTGCGCACCTCCGCATTCAGTTGCTTGCTAACTTCCCTAGCCACTTCAGCAAAACCCAACGACACGTTGGCATCAACGCTTCTGAAGCTGAACGACAACATGTTGTGAGTTACGCAATCGATGAACTCTATGCAACAAGCCATAGTACGGCTTGCTGATAGCCAGAGACTGCCAAAAAGGGAGGGAATTGACGACTTCTCTGACTCAAGCAATGAATCAAATAACGAATCTTTTGCATCTGCGGATGAGGACAGCGACTCGCTGCTCGAAAACGCAACAAAGACACACGAGATGATCTCCATCAACAGCTTAACAATATCAAAGCTTCGAATAAAATCTCGCAAATGCAAACAAATCACAGAGGAGTGGCTACAAAGGAACCAAAAGTGACAGTGGAAAGAATAGGCCCTCAGACCAGTATTACAAAAGGCCCTTACATTCACAGAGCTACCAGCGAAATCATGGGGACAAGTCAAAAAACTCAAAATTCCCCCTCTACAAAAAGGAAGGGGGAAAGAACTATCTACCATTGTTAATGGACTGGCAAATCTGGAAACCGTGCAGATCAGTAATTTTGAGTCTAGTGTTGAGAGAATTAAACAGTTATTGTCATTTAAGATTCTATGCTTTAAGGCTGGTGGCAAAAGTAAATTTTGTAAAAGTAAATTTTATTCCAAATAGCTAGAATTAACCTCAGACCCTAAGGTCCTTAACACTGTTAAAGGCCAGTTTATTGAGTTTACTACAACTCCTTATCGATGCCAAGTCCTTGCAGAAAAGAAATTCAGTGCAGAAGAAAGCAATATTATCCAGTGTGAGATAAACAAAGTACTTCAGAAGGAAGTTACCCATTCAACTAATTATGAACAAGGGTAATTTATAACTACCATATCTCTTACGCCAAAGCCAGATGGCACACACCGCATGATCCTAAACTTGAAAAAACTTAATACGTTAGTGAAGTGTGAACTTTAAAATGGATACAGTCTGGACAATGATTAGAATGATGAAACAAGTCTGTTACATGGCATTTATTGACATCAAAGATGCTTATTAGTCAGTTCCTATTGCTGATACTGGCCAAAAATATCTTATGTTTGAATGGAGGGGAATACTGTAAATTTACATGTTTCCCTGATTGTAGTGTACAGTGATGCCCATGTGTGGAAATGAATGCAAGTGTTGTAATACGCTCAAGACCTACGGATTTGCATGTATACATAATTTATTCAATTTATTCTGAGAGTTCTTTTTCGATTAAGAGTAAGTGTGTAACGGACGTGAATAAACGGTTTTAACTCAACCACAGTGTACTACATTGGCGACGAGAATTTTGAGGATTTCAAGGTTTCGTCGAGGGTTTCAGGAGTTTTGTCCAGGATTTCATAGGTGGTTTCGCTAGGGATTTATTTATTTCAGAGATGCCGGGACGCGATGGATCAGGCGAAACTGACACGACAAGCAGTGATGTTGGCGGTTCTCTTGGTGGTTCTGGAGTGGCTTCAGTTGTTTTAGATGTCAGTGGATTGGAACTATTCAATCGGAAGTGAGAGGCACATAATTTAAGTCAGCGGTGGAAGAGATGGAAGTGGGCGTTTAATTTGTACATGACAGGAAAAGGCGTTTCGAACAACGCTCAAAAGCGAGCTCTTCTGTCGGATGTTATTGGTATGGACGTTCAATAAATTTATTTCTCAATAGCCGGGGTGAGTTTTGAGGGGACACTTGAGGTGCTTGATAATTATTTTGTTCCCAAGTCGAACATTCCTCTTGAGAGACATTTGTTTAGACAAATTTCACAAGAGAGCGCAGACTCTGTGGACCAGTTTGTGTATAGATTATGTCAGCAAGCAGCGACTTGTAAGTTTGGCGTTAACGAGGACAACTATATCCGCGATCAACTCATAGACAAGTGTTACTCCAGCCATTTGTGCCGGAAGTTCCTGGAAAAGGGAGGGACCGTTACATTGGATGATTTGTTGCGAAATCCCAAGAAGCAGTTGATCGACAACTGAAGCAATAGAATACGGACCAGGCAGATCAGGTCAATGCAGTGAGTGGAAAAGTGGATGTGAACAAAAATCCCAAGAAGTTGAAGACTTTAGTTGTGGACAGGAAGGACTCTTTAGTCAGGATAGGAGGTACCCGGCACCAGGTCAGGCTTGCAGGAACTGTGGTACGATAGGCCATTTCAAAGTGAAATGCTCTCAACTCTATCTACGAGGCAGTGCTCAGTTGGGATTCAAAGGAACAAGGAATAGCAGAGGTGTACATGGTAGGGATAGCAGAGGCGCTGGTGGATTTTGTCGAGATGGACGTGGACATGGACGCGGAGGACTAGGGCGAGCGGCAAACCTTGTGACTGGTGGACCTGGCCCTGGAGAAGAAGACAGTGGAGATTTTGCAACACCAGGTTATCAGCTAAGACCCGTTATGCTTTTTCAGTGGAAAAGTTGGATGATCACAAGGAAGAAAGAAGTGTGTTGGTAACGCTGGTCATCGGTGGTGTGGACGTACCTAATGTTCTTATTGATTCGGGAGCTTCGTGTTATGGGACAGCGGACCTGGGAATGACTAAAGCAGAAGAGGATCAAGTGTGAATCTCGCAAGTATGCAAAAGAACTTTTGCTTATGGTGGTGTAGAACCTTCAATGACCCTAGGAACTTTACGGCAGATGTCACACAAGCTGGGTTTAAAGATGGATGCAAGGCTGATTTCGTAATGGTTGAAGGAGATGATCGTACGCTGTTGGGTCGCGAAACTGCCGAGGAGTTTAACCTGTTGGTCCTTTTCAGGCAAACAGTGTTGACGGTGGACGACCGGACGGTGATATTAGAGAGAAATAAAAGCACTTGATAAGTGGTGTTGGTCTTTTGAAGGGTTACAAATTAAAACTGCATGTTGATGAGTCGATGAAGCCTGTGGCGCAACATGTACACAGGTTGCAAAAGAAGGTAGATGCAAAGCTTGATGAACTTTTGAAACTCGACATTATAGAAGAAGTGTCGGAAAGGCTGTCGGCATGGATTTCGCCATTGGTGGTTGCTTCCAAAGGTGACGGTGAAGTAAGGGTCTGTGTTAACATGCGCCAAGCGAATGGAGCAATCGCAAGGGAGCGGCATCCAATTCCAACCGTAGAGGAGCTGTTACACGACTTGAATGGAAGTACCATATTTAGCAAGATAGATTTCAAATGGGGTTTTCACCAGATTCTACTAAGTGAGGAAAGTCGCCACATCTCTTCTTTTGTCAAGCACAGAGGGCTGCATCAGTATAAGCGGTTGATGTTTGGAGTGACATCGGCACCAGAGAAATATCAGCAGATTATCAGAGACTTGTTAAGGGATTGTGCTTGGGTTGCCAATATAGCGGACGATCTTACTATTCACGAGTGTGGTGTGGGGGAATATGACGAGCGTCTTTTTGCTATGTTGGACAGGCTGGATGAAGTGGGGTTGACGGTGAATGGAGACGAGTGCGAGTTTAGGTTGTCGAAGCTTATGTTCCTTGGCCATCAGTTGACTGGTGACGGCATAAATCCATGCAAAGAGAAGATAGCTGCTATTAGAGATGCAAGACCTCCCAAAGACGCAAGTGAAGTACGATCGTTTATGGGTCTTGTCCAGTACTCCTCCAAGTTCATGCTAGACGTAGCGTTTGTGGCCAAGCCTGTTCAAGAGTTGACCAGAAAGGGCGTCGTGTTTCACTGGGGTAAAAAGTAGCAAACAGCTTTTGAGGAACTAAAGCGCCCAATCACCCGGGTAGAGACACTGGCTTATTTAAAGATCGGCTGCAGAATGCGAATCATTACTGATGCATCTCCAGTTGGCTTAGGGGCAGTTTTCACCCAGCAGCAGGGAGAGTGGAGAGTTGTCTCGTGCGCATCAAGAAGCTTAACTGACGTGGAACGGCGCTACAGCCAAACGGAAAAGGAGGCACTGGCCTTGGTTTGGGCATGTGAACGATTCAACATGTATGTTTCCGGACAGGAGTTGGAGACCGATTACAAGCCTCTCGAGCATATCTACTCCAGTACTTCGAAACCTTGCACCAGGATAGAGAGATGGGTCTTAAAGGCGTCAAGGGTACGAGATTAAAGTATTGTTCTGCCTAGGAAAGACTAATATAGCCAACACGTTGTCCCACTTGAACTCGGATCACGTGGACCATGTAGAGGAGTACTACTTTGTTAGAGCAGTTGTTGTGAACAGTGTACCCATTGCTATATCACCTAGAGAAATTGAAAAGGCTTCCTATAATGAATAGGAATTGACCCGGGTGAAGGAATGTGTTAAGACAGGGAACTTGGACCGGTGAATACTCCCATCGTATGCACAGGCTAAGGATGAGTTATGTGCGGTTAGCCCACGAAGAGCACCAAGGTATCGTCAAAACGAAGTATCGTATTCGCGGTAAAGTTTGGTGGCCGGAAATGGACAAGGACGTTGAGAAGTTTCGTAGAGTTTGTCATGGCTTCCAGGTCACTTCTGGATTTGACCCCCCAGAGCCGATGTCCCGCGTTTTTCCTCCAAGTGCTCCTTGGCGGACTCTGGAGCAGATCTACTAGGACCCCTACCCACAGGAGAGAGAGTGTTTTGGTGGTGATCAATAACTACATTAGATTCCTCGAGGTTGCTTTTATGAAATCCACGATAAGTGCCAAGATCATTGAGGCACTTACGCCCATGTTTGCCAGGTTCGGTTTTCCATTTTCTTTAAGGACAGATAATGGCCCCCAATTCGTATCCGAAGAGTTTGAAGCCTTTTTACGTACGAATGGTATCCAGCACCAGAAATCGACACCGTTGTGGCCTCAGGCCAAAGGAGAAGTGGAGCGACAAAATCGCTCATTGCTGAAGTGTTTACAGATAGCACATTTGGAGGGAAAGAACAGGAGAACTGAGTTGCTTGTATGGTTGATGACGCACAGATCCACTCTGCAAACGACGACGGGGACTACACCCTGTTATATGTTTGGCCGCGAAGTTAGATCCAAACTGCCAGAGCTAAAAAGAGAAACAGTTGGTGTGCCAGGTAAAGAAGTGCGAGAGCGTGATTGGTCAAGTAAATTAAAGGGAAAAGCTTATGCAGATCTCAAGAGGGGTGCCATGCCTAAGAGCTTACGTGTTGGCAACACAGTTCTTTTGAAAGCAGAAAAAACTAACAAGTTGTCTTCCAATTTCAACCCTGATCCCTTTAAGGTTGTTCATAAGACAGGGTCAGAGGTAACGCTTAGGAACAAGGCTGGTATTGAAAAGGAACACTGTTTAAAAGAAGTACAATGAGCGCAGAGATGTAACCAATGGAGACGAAGACCAAGTGGTACAGGCAGGTTCTGTGGTACAGGTGGATTAGCCAGGGGCAAGAAAAATCCCGGAGACGATGCCAAAAGAAGTTCCAGGAACGTCTGAAGTATCTGAAAATTCTCAAGTACAACCTAGGCATTTCCCTGATAGGAAGGATACCGGAGCGGGAAGGCCTGTTCAGAGGTCGACCGCACTGTAAGACCGCCTGATCGTTATAAAGCCATATAGGGACTTTGAACTAGATGTCTCGAGTTTCTTTTCCTTTTACCGAGGAAAGAAGGAAATGTAGTGTATAGTGATGCCCACGTGTGGAAATGAATGCACGTGATTTAATATACTCGGGACCTACGGATTTGCATGTATATATAAAGCGTGTATTTTATTTATTCTGAGAGTTCTTTTTCGGTTAAGAGTAAGTGTGTAACGGACGTGAATAAACGGTTTATATTAGTGTACTACACTAATTTGTTTGGCATTGTGACCTAGTAAGTTAACAAAACTGCTCAAGCCAGTGTACTGTTACCTGAGAACGAAAGGACACCTTTCTTCTGGTTATATATTGGATTCGCCCCTTTTCGAGCTCTTTCTTGAGCCGATCGCACTCTTTGATCGCTGTGAGAATTTCATTCGAAAGCCACGATGGTTTCTTCATAGATATAACTCTGACTGAGTTAAGTGGAGCGTGTTGATCTACCACATCGAATACAAGGGCTTCCCAAGTTGATAACATTTCATCTGGGTCATCGTCAAAGGTGTCAAGGACGGTCCAAGGTACTTCATTTAAATCTTTAATGAGGCTGTTAACATTCAGATTCTATAAAGAGCGGTATATGACAGTAAAGTATGCTTTCTTGGTAGATTTCAAACTTTTACTTTGTTTGCGAACCAAAATAGTAGGGTTGTGATCACTGAGCCCAAAAGCTGGTGATGATATACTTAAGACGTGCTCAGGATGAGAGCAGTAATGATGATCAATAAGAGTACAAGAGTTTTCAGTGATGCGAGTTGGAATCTCAACCATTCGCTGGAAACCTTGATATTCCATTAAATAAAGTATTTGCTTCGATTTGCTTGTGGATTTCTTGATCAGGTCAACGTTAAAACCACCGACGATGTGAACTTCTTTGTTTTCAGCGGAAATAGAGTCCACAATATTTGGGAGGCTATCGAAAAAAGAGACAGCAGAGCCAGGGGGACGATAGAAACGAGATAGTAGTATCGGAGCACATCGGAATTGTTTAAATTCTATACTGATTTGTTCAACTTGCTCGGATTCTAAGTCACTCCCTCTTTCAGCCGAAAGTGAGGTGTGGATGTAAACAATAATTCCACCACCTGGAGCTGTTTTCCGATCTGTGCGAAAGAGATTGTATCCTGTGATGACAAGTTCATTATCTGTCCAGGAATTATCTAACCAGCTCTCCGTGATAGCCAAGATGTCGATAGATTACTTGTGCATCATCAATCTGGTCTGGTCTAATTTGTTTGTGATTGATCTTGTGTTAAGCTGTACAATTTTCAGTCCTTTTTTTGGGAGATTGAACGCTGTGATCGGATCGAAATCATCGTCCATTGCTAACGTTGTACTCGCTCAGGAGCCATTTGTAGTGTTTCTAAAGTGGCAATGAACAGCGTGATTTCCAGTTAAGGGCTGTAGTGACAGTTCCAAATGGTAGATAATTGGATTAAATGTCGCAATAGAAGTAGGAGTAAAAGCAAGTCTCCTTCGAAGATACTTCTCTTTCAAAATCAATTTCACTTCCATAGTTTGGATAATGTATCAGCAATTCACGCTCGAAGCTTTGGCGAGTCTGTTGGCTTAAGCAGAAAACGAGTGGCTGTTTTCGGTGTTCTAGACATCAGAGGAAGTTTGACGATCTTTATGCCTAAACATCGTCGTTTTATCCAAATCGTTGTCAACTGGGTTTGTAAAATTGGGCGAGAGTAAAACGTAGAATCCATATATACAAATCGAGAGAGCGAGCAAGGTTTCACCCGTCATTATGCAAATCCGTACAATTTCAGGTAACTCGCACAGGGGAGTTATGGACCTCAGATGAAGCAAAGCACCATATTAATTACCTTGAGATGTTAGCTATTAAATAACGGCTAACATGATTTGAGGAGAAGATCAGACAACGTCATGTGAAGCTCGTGGTGGACAATACGACAGCAGTCACTATCCTTAACAACATGGGAACTAGTCACTCCTGGGAGCTTAATGGGCTTGGTGTATTCACAGAGGAATATGGCTGACTTTAGCCCGTATTCCTGGAAAAAACAACGTAGTCGCTGACAAGGAATCTAGGCAACAACGCAGAGAACTTGAGTGGACTCTTAATCATGAGTTATATGGTACCTAATATTGACCTGTTTGCCTCTAGGCTTAACTATAGGCTTAAACCCTATGTATCATACAAGCCTGACCCAGGCACTGTGGCTGAAGATGCTTTTACGGTACAATGGTCACAACATGTTTTTTATGCTTTTCCACCCATTAGTGGGATTATGAGAACCCTTCAAAAGATACAGCATTTATCACGAGGGACTCATTTACAGTGCTTTAAACACTGCAAGGAGTGCATTGTCAAGTGTCATTGTACTACAGAGAAACAAGTCCTTCGGTAACCACCCACTTGTTTCTCGGTTTTTGAAAGGAACATTTATGACGAGACCAGCCCTGCCAAAATAAAAAGAAGTAAGGGATGTGAACGTAGTTCTTGAACATTTAGAACCTTTACAACTTGCTGAGAGTTTATCTTCAAAGCTTTTGACATTAAAATTAGTTATGATAATGGTCTTATTGTCAGACCAACGTTGCCGGACCATTCATGCCTTATCTACTAGGGACATGCAAGTCTCAGACAGCCAAATTGTGCTCAGTGTTAATGAATTGTTAAAAAACTACGAAACCTGGAAATACCCTACTAAGCTAGAATTTCTATCCTATAACGCAAATCCTTGTCTCTGTGCGGTAAGGTATCTTTCCGAATACCTGACAAGGACCACGGACATTAGACATGATCACCATAAGTTGCCGGTTGGTTATCAGAAACCACACGGGCCAGTCTCCAAGGACACCGTCGGTAGATGGTTGAAACACGAATTGAAGCTTGCAGGCATATATACTTCTACTTTCAGTGCCCACAGCACAAGAGCTGCGTCAAACTCAGCTGGGTGTTCCTCAGAGAATACCTTCACAAAATACTACAACAAAGCTATTTCCAAACCGAAAGATAACTTTGGGAAACAGCTGCTAAATGCTTTCCAGAAATAAACAGCTGAAAAGATGCTACAAACTTTAACTACAATTGTCATATGATTGTGACGGTTACAGAGAGTTATGGTTAATGTTAAACCAGGTTGATCTGTATTACATGATCTTTTGTTATGATCGATTTCTTCTGGTCACATGCTTTCAAGTCTCACGTTATTTCCTTGTGACATAGACTGGCGACGAAATAGAATTGTAAAATTAAACGAGACTTGCCTGTAAGTTGAAGTTTGATTAGGATTCTACGAGTCACCGGTCGGGAACAAGGGAGTCACGTGCCCACCTTTATGGTTATGTATTTTATCTTATGCATGTTTGCTAGTAGGGAAATGATTTTTTTCCATTGCCCTACCCTGGTTGTGTGACCGGTATGTCATTTCTAAATGCGGAGGTGCGCACGCATATCTCATGTGACTCCCTTGTTCCCGACCGGCGACTCATAGAATCTTAATCAAACTTCAACTTACAGGTAGGTCTTGTTTAAGTTTACAATTGATCGATAATTGAATGACTGCCATTAATTGTAGCAATGGCATTTGCTTGATCATATCTGATATTATCTGCTGTTTTACTGAGGTATAAATCAATATCAAAGAACGCATTATACCTGTGTGAATGACACTTCCCAATATGGTCATACTATATGCTTCAATGAACGCTTCTTGAATGTGATTGAATCGATAGAAAGGAAGCCCGAAAATAAACCTTTACAAAACCTTACATGGTGTCAGGAGTGGGATTATCTGTTCTCAACGACTACAAGTCATGGCTTGGATTCCAAAAAACCTGGTGAGCCCTGGCCCAAATTAATGCGATGGTCTGCGCGGTGGGTGGAAATGCTAATGAGATTCTGAAAAGGTTTTATCTCTCAGACGACAAAGTAAAATCATGCTATTAAACACACTTTGTGGGCCATACGAGTATTATTTTTGAACAAGCACGATTCAACAAACGAGTACAAGGTGTGAAAGAATAAGATTGATTTATTGAAAACCTCTATGAACTCAAAGAGAATTGTCAGTTTGGTTCACTTATAGAAGATTTGATACGTGATTGTATTGTTGTTGAAATGAAGCTGTCAAAGAAGCCTGGTCCTCTGAGCTTGTCAAAGAGCAGCAAAAAATCTTAAAAGCAGATGAAAACGGAAAACTAAGAGAAAAAAGTAAATCGCATTATAGTAGACCGTCAACCGTGGCTCAAATAATTTCAGTATAGCACAATTGAATGTTCGAAGCTTGAGGAATAAGATGGATGAAATCAAACTATTACTTAAAGTGTGTCGTTTCGACATTTTAGCAATTACCGAAACATTTTTAGACGCGAGGATATCGAACAAGCAACTACATGTGGATAACTATAAGATTGTTAGAAGGGACAGAAATACGGGACAGGATGGAGGTGGCTGCTTGATTTACATTGCGAGCCATATTTGTTATTCAAGGCTCAAATCCCTAGAGCCCCCTGATGTTGAATTAATCTGGATCAAAATTATGCATAATTCGTCTGCGTTGATATTAGGAAATTGTTATCGACCTCCTTCTGACTTCCAGTTCTACGAACGATTTTGTGACTGTCTGGAGAAAATGTGGCTTAGGCACAGGAATGTGGTGCTTGTCGGTGATTTTAACTCGGACTATTTTCGTAGCTACAAGGGTGTTACATCATACGCCGGTAGAAGATTACAAGATATACTCCAGCAATTCAG